AACCCAAACCCTAGCACCAGCTCCCGCCGAAAAAGAAGAATCAGACGCCGGAGAAGGGGGCCAACAGTCGATCATTGTCATACCGGAGCCACCATCGGCCGCTAAAAAAGATAAAAATTCCCTCTACCAACTCGAAATTTGATTCCAAGCACCTATGTGGCCAAATCAGAGAAAGAATGACGACAGATAAGACAAAAATCGTGGACAAAGCCCTGCGGAGCTGCCGCGACCAAAACTCCAAAATTCCTTCTATGAGCCCCTTTTAGATTTATGTTTCACGTGATTTTTCAATTGTGTTCACCGTCCTTTTCTGTATAGGTTAACCGAAGAAAGAATCTTAACTGCGAATGAGGACCGGCGGAGCTGCCGCACCCGGAGGTTTTCCCCACCGGTAGGTTCAGTTTTTGTGATTGCTCGATCAACTGATGCCCCTTAACGTGTTTTTTCTATATAAATACAATCAAAACCGGTCAGGCCGAGATGAACTGCCGCTGTGGGCGGCGGAGCCGACGCCAGAGCACAATAATACCGCTATGCTCGAACCCAAAAATTGACTAAAATGAGTTTTGAACACCGATTTTAGATTTTTTAAGATATTTTTAAGTATGTGACGAGTGTATTGGATTTTACAGAAAAATTCATGATATTCGGTATCCATTAGGAGGTGTAGTAGACAGCTTGATGTCTCAAAACACTGATCTGGATAAGGATCTCTCACCCTATTCTCCATTACTATAAATTGAGGTTTAACAATGTATAATTTCGTATTTTGATAAAAAATTAAAAAACCCTAAAAATAATTATAGGTTACTAGTGGAGTCAAACCCAGTTACTTTATAATTATCTTGATTTTCCGTTTATTTTCATGTACTATCCTACTTGCTTGATTGATCTACCGTATGATTAAAATTATTACTTTTAATTATTTTTTCATTTATTGATTGTCTGATCGTAATATTTATCTAATTCATTGATTTGAAATAAAGGCCCCAATTATATTTCTTAGTTGTTAAGGTATGAAATTGTACTGTTTGCTTAAATGTCATTTGATTGATATGTGAATATACAATGAGATATTTGTATACATTTGTTGATTGTTTATTGATGAAAATCTGTATGTGAAAAAACTTACTGGGTACTCGAAAAAATGGCAAACGAGTCCGATACATAGGAAACCCTACTGTGAACGTTATCTTAGTTGGACGGGGCTGGGAAGTCCTTTGCCATAAAGGTTTAGGAGATATAGTTTACTCTCATACCGAACGGGATATCGAGATGATAAAATGTTTGATGTCTATTACCAGACGGGGTATGGAGACGACTAGTTAATTGAAAAATTATATATCAGGTTCACGGGAAAGAGGGGCATCCCTATGGACCCTCAGGGGTATTAATAAGTAGGTAAGAAAGTAAAGCTATTATTTTTTGTTCTCTTATGCGTTAAAGTAAAAAGTGGTACGGATATGAGTTTTCATATGTTGCATTTGAAAAACTCGCTATGGTAAGTATTAAATAAATATCTTCAAGTTTAAATGTATTTAAATAAAGTAATGGCTTCATTAGTTATTTTTCTGATTTTTATCAATCTTCAGTTTTTCATATATGTGATTAGTGTGATATTCTTACTGGGTTAGTGTAGTTTATCATTTCATTAACTTATTCAGATCAAAATGACCAATATTCAGATCCCGATAAATAAGAGGGCTGTGAGTAATTCACTATCCAAACTCATTTCAAGTGCTAGTGAATGTTATCATAGGATGCTTAATTATTTGCTCTTCATTTTATTTTTTTAATTACCGTTTATCTTTTAGAAGTGACATTCCCGTAGTTCTATTGGGTATTCAAAATTATTGTGTAAAAAATGTAAACCCTAACTTTATTAATCTCTTCCGCATTTAATTTATGAATTTATTTCCATTTAAGTTCCGAACTTTTACATAATCGTTGTCGATTTCATGGGTAATATCTGATGTAGTATGCACCACACAAACTGTTTAACTTTGGGTGGGACTTCTAACTTCCACACAAATGACCATACATCCCCTCTAATTTGCATGTATGTGGTGACATTGTCTTGCAAGAGATGATAAGCATACTTCATTGCGTACCGAGGGCCACCAAATACATATATCTCACAATCTCCGGAAACTAATCAGTATGGATAAGATGATCTCGGCTTATTATTAAGTAAACACACCCCTGACCATGTCCGAGTTCAAACACAAGCCATCTTGGGGCAGAAGGTCACATGCTCTTAGATCATCCATGCTCTTAAAGCTTGGGCTGTTAAGAAAACAGTCACCTGAACAAGGCAACCATGGGTCCTTCAAAACTTAGATTTGTTGACCAGAGCCAACTACCCACCTTATGCTTTTCAACATCAAAATTTGAGCTGCAACCAACTATGCCGTGTAAAGCTAGGTTTGGAGCCCAACCCTGAAATAAGATGTCCCCTTCAAGAAAATATTTAGCTTTGAGGATGCATGCAAGTAATGATTTTGGGTTACTGTGGAGATGCTATAATTGTTTGCTGAGCATTGCGGTGTTAAACTTAGATAAGTGACATAAATCAAGTCCCCTAATTTCCTTCGTGTCACACATTACTTCCCAAGACTTCCAATGTAAGTTCCTCCTCCCATCATTATTCCCCCTCACCAGAAGGAACTCATCATCCTATATAGCTCCTCACATAGTGTCTTGGGAAGTAAGAAAACTCCCATACAAAAAGTTGGGAGGGCTTGGGCTACGAATTTGAGCATAATTTCTTTGACGGGTTTGGACGAAAATTTTATTTTCCAATTCACGAGCCTTTTATGCAACATATCCTTCAAGAATGCAAAAATGGCTCATTTACTTCTCTCTATCATATACGGTGGTCTCAGATATATGTCGTGATCAATCTCCTTTCAAGTACGCAGTATATTATTCAAAGTTGATATGAGGTTTCACCAAATAATTTATAACCTTTAAAGAATTATTTCAAAAAAAAAACAATATTATAACAACTAGCAACTATGCATACATGTAATAAATTTACAAGTTTTATAAAATTTAAATACTAAAAAGTTTTTTAAAACAAAAAATGATATTAATATAATTTATGCAAAACTCTGAAGAATCATACATATCGATGTCAGAAATATTTGACGAATAAAATAAGCATTATGTTGCTATTGGGAAATTATAAGTTAGGCTAGTGAGACGACTATTGCAAATGTTCATTTTTTTGGTTACATTTTTCTAATTGTATTGAAGAAATTTTAAGTCAATAACTAATAAATTCAATAGAGCTAATCGCATGGAGAAAACCAACATATATAATAATTATTTATACAATACGTTACAACATTAATTGTACATTTTCATATTTTCAATTGAGGTATAAGCTATATTTACTAATATATAATGATTCTCATTTAATAGTATTATATTTTTAGTAAAATATAATATATAATAAATCCATATATCATAATCCTTAGAAATCGACTATTCCATATGAATTAAAATAGAAATACCATTGGATTAAAGTTTACTGGTATATTCAACAGTGGTTTATTTAATAACTGATATACGTAATCAAACATATAGTATCTAATTTAATTTTTAATGAAAATTACCTTATTCATACTTCTTAATTTATAAATACAAATGATACATATATATATATATATTAGTAAATGAATATATAGTTATACTATATACATATAAATTAATCATAATTAGCAATGAATAATTTATAAAAATATAAATATATATATACACATACTGATTTATAAATAAAAATAAAAAATATATTTTTTTAACATATTATTTAGAGCTTTGATTTTCAATTTTCGTCAAACTGTTTAATTGGTCGTCGGAATTCGTATTGAAGATGACATTTCTCTTGTCCAATCTATACACACACACACACACACACATGCATATGCATATGTATATATATATATATATTATACAAACGTTGCTGGTCCGAAGTTGACCACTTCAATTTATAAAAAGTCAAACTAATATCATCCCTAAGTATTTATCATTTCCATTTTCAAACACTATAAAATAAAAATGTCAAACAATAATCACCCAATTTCTTTTTTTTTTTTTCAAATATTCACATGGCATAGTTTATGCATGCTTTGATTAATTTATTTTTTTAAATAATGTCATACATATTAAAGTCAGCGAATTAGACTGTTTAAGGCATATAAATTATATATATTTTTTTAATCATAATATTGTACTAAAACATATATTATATATTTTTTATGTTCCATACTTTGAATTACATAAGTAACCACATTTTTTTTTCCAAACTCATATATAATATATTAATTATTTTTATTTAATTAATAATTTAATTATTTTATTTTTAAAATAACAGTAATAATTTAGTTATTATTTTTAATAAGACAGTTTACAAGAAAATTTAGACGGCGTAAACAAAGAGACCTCTTATAGGTGACTTGCCATGCCTTGTGGTTTAACGACAAATCACACGTCATTAGCGTTTTGACAATGCCTTGGTTTTTTTTTTTAACTGCCTTCTTGACATTAAAATCCATATATACGAATTTTTGGTACACTCGTTATACACGATATAAATTTCAACGTTAACGCGTTTTCTCTCGCGAACCAATCACAGTATCTTGTTTTCCTTTTGCTTCATTACTGTTCCGCGCTAACGTGACGGGCTGTCACGTAACGACATCGCAATACTCCGCCATTTCATCCTTTATAGTAATAAAATTATTTTATAATTTACACGCACTTGAATTAAATTTTTTTTTACTTGATAAAAATAAAACACAATAATTTTTTTTTTTTTTTTTCTTTTTTTTTTTATAATCTTCAAATAATTAGGCAGCAGATGTTTGATTATAATTATCCAAACAGCGAGAAATATATGACTGTCACTATGGATATGGAACAGCGACCTGTCAAGTTAGCTTCGTTCTCCTAACTTTCAAATTAATAGCAAGCCACCAACATTTTTTTCTCCAACACCGTCTTTGTGACTCTTCTTCGTTTTTCTCATTCAGTTTTCTGCTGTTGTTTTAAGTGTAATCTCAATTTACATTTTCTGTTGCTGATCAATCTGAGTTCTTAGAAAGGCAGGCTCTTCATCATCAGATTTTTAGAGAGTTCGAGTTCGAGTTTGACCGATCAGTGCAGAGAAGTCCACCTACAATCGATGGGACATTACTGCAGCAAAAACATCTACGCAGACAACAATGATTCAGTCCTTGCCGGCAATCAACGGAAGACACCGCAGAGGCGGCGTCCTCCGCCTTCGCCGTCCCCTGAAGCCGCTGAAGCCAATTCATTCACTGGAAGCCCGTTTCCGAGCCCTCTGCCGGCGGGGGTTCCACCGTCGCCTTCGCCGGCGAGGACGCCGGGAAGAAAGTTCAGATGGCCGTTGCCGCCTCCGTCTCCTGCTAAGCCGATCATGTCGGCGATCATGCGACGGCGCGGCGCGGCTAAAGCGCCGAAGGCAGACTCGATTCCCGAGAATGAAGCAGGAGGAGGAGGAGAAAGGGCGCTGGATAAGAATTTCGGCTACACCAAGAACATCGGCGCTAAGTTTGAGCTGGGTAAGGAGGTCGGGCGTGGGCATTTCGGACATACTTGTTGGGCCAAGGGCAAGAAGGGAGAGCTCAAGGGACAGTCTGTTGCTGTTAAGATAATCTCGAAAGCCAAGGTTTGTTTCTCTTTTGCCATATATTGTCTTTTCATTGTTGATGCAAGGACAATTAGAATAAAGTTAAAACTAGAGGTAGTTTAACTATTTCTTTTGGTTTTGTTAACTTGAGAAAATGGATGTAAAAAAGAAGAACACGAAACAACAAATACTACAACAGTTGGCAGTGAATGGGATCATTAGGATTAGAAGGGGATCACACATCTCTGGGAGAGCGTAAACGTCCATGTAGAATGCAAATTTGTCTGCATCTGGTAGAATGTAGGGTTATAATAGCACAGAGAGTTCTGCTACCGATGGATTAGCTATAACAGAGAGACTTAGGGATAAGAAATCTTATTTCCAATGATCAGAGAGACTGAATCAGGATATGTACTTCCCTTTTGCACTTCTTAAACAATTGATTGAAACGATTATCCAAAAACCTAAAAATATTGGTGCTATCCATTATTTCACTCACTATTGGATTTTGAGCCGTCCAAAGCCTGGCAATACCATTTGGCTTGCACTCCTTGCTTCCGAGCCCTTGTACTTTCTGACTTTTTCAGGTTTGATTCATGTGCTAAGCTTAAAAATCTCATTTGCAGACAAGAGGCTGTGTTAGCATGTAAATAATAGACTGTGTCACTTGTGATCAAATTTTAATATAATCTGTTTAATCTATTATTTAATATGGTGTCAGAGCCATAATTGTTGTGTTCAAATTTTGAAATCTCGTCTTCTCTCTTATTATTTGTTCATTAAATCTTTTGTACGCAATTAGGTTTCGAGTTTCTGGTAACCCATTCTCTCTCGGCCATCTTCTGCCTTCTTTAAGTCTGACTCCCCAATACTAATGTTAAAGATCCTGCTTGCATACGGCCTATGTTAAGATTTAAAATAATAAATTGTGTTCAATTTTATCACCGTAAGTTTTTCGAGTAATCGGTTCAATATATTATTTAGTACGATATTCCCAAAAGTTTAAATTCATTGGAGATGATACAATTAATTATTTATGCACTAATACGAACTTTGTCTTTGATGTCATTTTAAATAATAAATTAAACTGATTATTAATTTTTTTAAATATTTAGGTCATTTTATTATTTAGAATATTGACATCAGATGCCATGCCATTATAACTATCGCTCTAACTAACCCAACTCTCAGCTGATCTGTTATCTCTGTAATCTACTCGTTTGAGCTCTATGTGTTTGACTAAATTCCTTAACCTCTCACACAGATACAAAGTACTTAAAATATGAGAACTCTGCCCAGTGCCTGGGTCATTAGAACTAGCTATCGGGGACAAAAAAAAGAGTGACTGGGTAAGGATGTCACGTTCTTATTGCATACCATCTTATTTGAGGTGATTGGTGTAGAAAGGAGGAGGATGTTCTTATAAATATAGTATGAAGATATTTTGAGGCGCGAGACCATCTAAAATTGATGCATTGCTAGATTGCTAGTGTCTTAATGTTCTGGCACCAGGAATATAACAATACATTTGTTCACAGAGGTTTATGAACTTTTAAGGAATTAATCTGGTCATGGCTAGATACAGTTAAGAAGTGGCCATTTTAACCAACTTTTTGTTTTTAATAGGAGAAAGTGATAGCATCAACCAGACCATTGTATAATAGGATTTAATTCCTGGGGAAATCGTGGGTGTATCCTGAAAAACTTTAACCGAATAAGAAAATTACAACATTTTCTTTCAAGGTTCAAACTATTTGTACAGGTTTTTAAAATTTTCCTTTGGTATATAAAATTATTTGTTTTAGGATGTTAACCACTAAAAGGTTTCAACTTGAGGAGCAGGATAACTAACTGAACTTAATTCGGCAGATGACATCACCGATTGCCATTGAAGATGTTCGTCGGGAAGTGAAAATATTGAAAGCCTTATCTGGCCACAAGCATACAATCAAATTCCATGATGCATTTGAGGATGCAAATAACATTTACATTGTCATGGAGTACGTATGTCCCTGTTTTGTAATTTTATTTTCATGTGACTTATTTGCTATAGGTTTTAGTTGAGTTCAAACTTGAATTGGTAGTTGTCTTCTGGATTCTTGTATAGTTGGAAATTTCCCACAGTTTAAAGCCAACGTAAATAAGATTTTTCTTAATAGAAATGGAAGCTTACTTTTTTTGCATCATCACAGACCAGAGAAATATATTTTAAAACAAGCAAAATCTTCTTTTTCTTGTCAGGCTCTGTGAGGTGGGGAGCTACTGGATAGGATTTTATCAAGGTAGAGAAGGAATTCTCACCTCAGACATTTGTATTATCTGTGATTACTTTACTTTTTTACTTTACCACTAGTCTCATAGTTTGATTGATTGTAATCCTTCTTATTTCATTGTTGCAGAGGTGGTAGATACACAGAGGAGGATGCTAAGAGTATTCTTGTGCAAATTTTATCTGTAGTTGCTTTTTGTCATTTACAAGGTGTTGTCCATCGTGATCTAAAGCCGGAGGTAAAGCATAGTAGTATTTGGTATTTCTAATCCTGTTTCAATGATTCCAGATTCACTTATTTCCTGCATTTACCATCATTTTAATGTGCAGAATTTTCTCTTTACTACTAGAGATGAGGATGCACCATTGAAGATCATTGATTTTGGTTTGTCTGATTTCATTAGGACAGGTAATGGCCCCTCTCCAATGACTTCTTTTTTAGCTACATTAGTTATTTTATAATAACTGCCTAAATATTGCAAGAAAATGAATTGGCCCAGCTAGTTTCCTACCTATGTGAGATTTTTTTTTTTTCATCTTGATCTCTCTGGATTTGATGAATAATATGAAAAAATTTCCTGACAGAGATTTCTAAGTTAAATTTCTTTAATTCCAGGAAAATGTGAATGTATGTTATTATTCAACCAAATCTAGTTTTGGTGTTTCACTAAACTCTACCTTCTTTACAACATAATAGTCAGAAAAGCTTGTCTCTGGGATTCCTATGTTTTGTCAGTTTGGGGTTGTAGCCATGCTTTTGAAGCTTTTATCTAAAATAGCCATGTTTTTGAAAGTGTTGATTGGACCATTTGAGAAAAGTTAAAACTGTAATTGATAAATTAAGTTTTGATGGGATATCAATCATGCTTGTAATAAGGACTTAAGAGTCCTATGGTTTGGTTTTTTTCTTTTTAGTTTATGAGTAGGTGAGACTATGAATTTATAGGCTTTTGAAAAAGAAGCAAAATATGTGTTTGGTTAGTGAAATTTTTATTCAACTTGTAAGTTATTTTTAAATAATGAGTATTAAGTAAAATAATGCTTATAAGTTGAAATTTTATAGAATGACTAACGAGAATATATGAGCAAGAATTTTATGATTTTTAGTAGGCATATATTGGTAAAAAAAACAGAAAGGACAAGATAGGCTTTTAGGAGTGTTTGAGATTCCAGATAAGTTGTTATTTTGTCCCTGAACTAACGAAATCATTATTCATCTGCCATAAATTTGAAAGAGAATATTAAATTCCTGCACATGTGCAGATCAACGTCTCAATGATGTCGTTGGTAGTGCATACTATGTTGCACCTGAAGTTCTCCACAGATCTTACAGTTTAGAAGCAGATATATGGAGCATTGGTGTCATAGCATACATTTTATTATGTGGAAGCAGACCTTTCTGGGCCAGAACTGAATCAGGAATTTTTCGTTCTGTTCTAAGATCTGAACCTAACCTTGATGATTCACCTTGGCCGGCTGTATCATCAGAAGCCAAAGATTTCATAAAAAGACTTCTGAACAAGGACCACAGGAAAAGAATGACTGCTGCCCAAGCTCTAAGTAAGTTGTCCCAATGCATGCATTCTCTAACAGAACAAGATTAAAGAATGTCTGATCCATTTCAAGTGTGAAGGAAAAGAAACAAGTGCCAATATAAATCATAGCTTTATATCCTGTCAAATAGCAACTCTTAGGCTATGTTTGGAGCAACTTTGGAAATATTGTAGAATTCATTTGCAATTTACACTTTTTTCAATTAGGAGATAATAAAAATTGTATTAGAATGACGAAAAAAAAAATATTGATTTTGTTATGGAACTTCATATGGAATTATAACAATGTGTTCCAAAGTCTATTAGTTTGAAAGAATTTGGAATCTATTGTTCCAAAGCCACACGGAATTATATATGAGATCAATTTTTATACTTTTTTGAGAGTATTTTTACTATCTTCAAGTTAAACTAAGTAAACTTCAAAATCTTGGAGTTGTTCCAAACTGTAGCTTTAATATTTAGATCCCGCCCTTCCCCTATGGTAAGTTCTAGATAATAAGGATTTTGCTTGAAGAAGCTGATGCTAGCATATTATATTTCTTCTTCATGGAAAGTAATCAGTGCTTCGCATTTGCAGCTCACCCATGGTTACTAGATGAAAGTCGTGCTGTGCCTTTGGATATTTGTATCTACAAATCAGTCAAGTCATATGTTTGTGCCACACCTTTCAAACGGGCAGCACTAAAGGTAGTTGGATGATATGTACTGAATAGCAAAGGACATACTGCATTTCTTCTCATCCTAAATGTCTTCATATCAAACAAACAAACAAATAAGAATAGTTAGTGTAAAGGGCTTACATTGACATATAGGCAGCTTGCCTTTGTGAATGCATTGCTGAGTAACATATAGCACAAGGGCATCAAGCATCATTTCCTCGTAAATCTTATTAGTTTTTCATGTTTCTGGACATATCTGCAGGCTCTTTCAAAAGCTATCCCTGAAGATGAGCTTGTGTATCTTAGGGCGCAGTTTGGGCTTTTGGAACCAAAGCATGGATATGTCTCATTAAATAATTTTAAAGCGGTTAGTGGGCGGTTCAATCTTTTCTTATTATTGACCTTTACATTTCAATATTTATATAATCTTGCAACTTTAGTTTTGTGTTAAATTGTGGTAATCGTGTAACGTGCTTAGTTTATATAGTGATTTCCTCTTGTGACCTTTCATTTCTAGTGCAGGCTTTAATGAGACACGTGACTGATGCCATGAGGGAATCGAGAGTTCTCGATATTTTAAATGTGGTAAGAAATCTTCTTTGAGTTGGTTGAGATTTCACATGCACAACTCATATTATATAAGCAAAGACAGTTGGTGCTCTATGTTTTGATGCAGTCATGAACATATGATGTTTTCTTGTCCAGATTCCTATATTTTCTGTCATCTTTGGTTGTCATCAAGCTTACAAGGTTCTTACATATATCATGTAGATCATTTCAAAATTTAGGATGAGTTAGACATGCATGGTCTGCCTATTTAATTCCAAAAGAAAGGCATAGAATGAAACATGAAGGGACTCCTGCATACTTCATTTTGTTAGTAAATGACTTATTTTGATATGTCGCAATTCTTCTTATGATTTTCCTGACATACTGCTCTGTGTATTGAAATGATTGATATTTATGGTCAAATTTGCTTTAAATATTGTTCCCAAAAGAATTGTTTTATATCAATTTCGATTTCAGTTTGAACTATGTAATCTGGATGAGAATTATTTTATTTTATTCATCCTCAAATAGTTAGTAATAATATATTTTTTATCCTTATTTAAGATGGAACCTCTCACCTATAAGAAAATGGACTTCGAAGAGTTCTGCACTGCCGCAATCAACTCATATCAGCTGGAGGCTCTGGAAGGATGGGAGAAGATTGCAAGCATGGCTTTCGAGTATTTTGAACATGAAGGAAATAGAGTTATTTCTGTTTCAGAACTGTCACAGGTATGCTCATTTCTTCTAGAAAGTATTACTTTCAAGAGCATTTTCAATCTACCAAACTCTAAATAATTTCTGCTGCAGGAAATGAATCTAGGCCCTACAACTCATTCTTTCCTCAGAGACTGGATTCGGAGTTCTGATGGGAAGCTAAGCTTCCTTGGATATACCAAGTTTCTACACGGTGTGAGGATACGCACCCCCATTGTAAGACGCTGAGAACATATATATAAATAGTCCAACAGAGGTAGAACTGATTATTTAAATTTTGTGTTATAAATTCTTTCTTTCCTTTGTTAAGGGAAAAGGTATATAGAAAACTATAAATAGCCCAACAGAGAACAAAGGTAGAGGTTGAACTAGAACAGTTCCATTCCATTTGTATGTTGAATTCGAACACAGTTTGCCGAGAAAAAGTATAGGTTTCCTTAATTCTCAATGTTTGTTACTCTGTACATACAGTTTTCCACCTTTGGATCCATGTGAGGAAATATATGTTTATAGTGTTTGCATTAGATAGACTTTGGGATG